CCGGCCTCCACAGGAACTGTTCCCGCCACCGTCATGCCCGCCCAGCGAGACAGGGTGTTCCCCTGCACCTGCCGCAACACGGGCTGGGTGTCGCGAATCGCAAGTCCCTGTATGCAGTACGGTAAACGTAATGATTCAAAGAAGGTATAACATATAGAAACATATGGTAACATGACATCATAACAGAGGGATACACAATCTGAGAAGCCGATGTTATATTCTGAAAGATCCGGGCCAATACTTGGTTCAAAGCAAGAGGAGATGTATAGATTGCTGAGGCTGCAAATTGAACGTCTATTCACAAATGCAATACAGATATCATTTTCAAGGTCACACCTAGTTTTTTTAACACATTCGTACTGCTGGTTAGAATTATGATGCAGGTATAAATAAGTATGCGATGAAAATCTTACCGTATAGAAAACAGTTATAGCAGCATAATCACAAGAGTGCAGCATTCTCAGATGACATTCCATACTAACTCTCCCGGCGGAGTGGAAACTCAGAACCCCGTCCGGCAGGAGGGTGACATCCCCTGGTCGTGTGTTCAGTTCCTCCGCAAATCTCAGCCTGGTAGACTGGGCCAGCCCTGCCAGGGCACGGGCGTGTTCTAGCCGTGCTCTGAGTACAGATGAGTGTTTCTGAGGGATCCATAACACATTGATAGCGCTTAGTCCATGCATGGCACTATAAAAGTGCACATCACAGCGCTTTGCGGCTTTAACTACCACAAAAATCCTGTCAGAAGACTGTACGGGAAAGTGAGATTGAACCTGGATAGACGTGTATTCACCCCGTACCCCTCCTACAAATTGTTTATCTGCGACTACATCCTGTTTGTCTCTTCTGATCATAAGGGAGACTGAGATTCCGGCGTTTAGACAGGTCCCGCGCAGGAAGACCGCTTGGGTGAAAGATAACTTTATGTTTCCGCCTACCGATACGGCCACGTCTCCGTAAACGACTTTCAGTATGTAGGAATCAGAAACGGTTGACAGTTTGAATTCAAGCCGCCACTCTGTTTTCCCCGTCCGTTGGACGAGTTCTTTCGCCCGTGCAGTTAGCAGGACGGCACCTGTAGCATGGGCGAGCCACAGGACGCTAGATGACGTCAGGGGCGCTTCGAAAGACGTCATCTCCCGGTCGTTGCGCAGGTACGTCGCCTGTCGCCGGAGCATCACGGGAGGGCAGAGGCCGTGGCGGTCCCGGAGCCGGAGGGATATCGGAGCGCCGGCGCCCACCCTCCCCGCAGCAGTAATGGACGCCCCCTCCTGCGCCTCCCCGCTCACACGTCTGGTCGATCCCTCCCGTGGAACCGCCCTTCCGACGTGCAGCCAGGTAGACTGGAAGTAACTCCCGCCAAGCTGCAGGGACAGTTCCATGTGCCCCTTGCAGGGGTAGGGCAGGGGGTAGGTGTAGTCGGCCCAGACGAACCCGCTCTCCCCCATCTGCACCATGGTCTGTTCCACCGGCTCAGAGAACGAGCTGTCGTTGATATGGTTACTTGGGAGCATGCGCAGCTGTACTGCAGGCCCGGATGAAACCTCCCTATACAGCGGAAAGATAGCCTGGTTACCAAACCTATTATAGCTCCC